TGATCTCTTCTGGTTTGGTTAACTTGGGAGGGCTTCCTGGACGGGGCAGGCCTAAAAGATAGGATTTCCCGAGGTCTTTCCTAGGCCACCAGAGTAGAGGTGGGTTAGTGGTGAGACTTCTCTGGAGAAGAGCTCCTGGAATGCAATACCACATCTGACCCTCTGGGAACCACGTCGGGCCTCTTTAGTCCTGGTCACTGATGCTCCCCTTAGAAACAGAATAAGAATAAAACCAGGAAATAGAGTGGCCAAGAACACAGGCTCTGCCTGGGTTTGAATCAGTTACCAGCTACTTGACTTTAAGCAAGTTGCTTAACCTTTCTGTGCCTTAGTTTCTTCATCTGTAAAATGTAGGGGATGGTGATCATGACCTCCCAGACCTGCAGTTAAAAACGGTCAGAGCGCACCGCTGTGAACCACAGAGTGCAGGCTTGTGGTGGAAGGTTTCACCTTTCATTGCTGTGGCTGGGACTGGTTGCTGGGGCAGTTGAAGAGGGAGTTAAAGAAATGGAATAGTTGTGCAACCAGGAATCCCTTGGGACCTGGCCGAGTTGCGGCCCCAGAGTCCTCAGACCCGGAACTAGGGCGGCAGAGCCCCTCGTGGGCCCCTGGGTCCCTGGCGACCCGGCACTGGTGGACCAGGAAGGCCCCCTTCCCCCACACTCCCTCCTGACTGCCAAGGCCAGGGGAGAGATACAGGAAGGGGGATCAGGGGTGTCTGCTCACCCTGGCAGCCACTGGTGACATGGAGCAGCCCTGCCTGCCTGCGTCTGCTCAGTCTCAGCAGATGGGGGCAGTGTGGGGAAAAGTGAATGAAACATCTCATGGTGAAGAGCAGAGAAGCTACAGAGGAGCTGGAAGCCCCTCTCCGATTCAGAGTTTGGTTAAGTGTCTCTTCAGTGTGTGTGTGTGTGTGTGTGTTGTGTGTGTAAGAAAGTGAGAGTGGGGGTGAGTGTGTGTGTAAGAGTGAGTGTGTGTGTGTTTCCCTAGTACCACCTGTTGCCCAACTGCTACCTGTACTGGACAGAATAAGGAACACTTCTTCCCTCCCCCAGCCTCTTCACTTAAAGGGGAGCCAGGCCCAAACTGTATCAGCAGCATTGCCCTGCGGCTCCGAGATGCTGAGTCCTGTACCTTCTCCCGCCCTTGCTCCGAGAGTGCTGGGCGCCCTCACGGAAAGCCCTGTGGTTTGAAAGATCGCTGGGCTTGGGGCTTCAAGGGCTCTCGTGGTGGGGCTGGTCACATGACCATTAAGAGGTCACTGGCTCCGAATCTCAGTTTCCCTAACCACATAATGGAAGATTTGCACGCTCTCCAGGTCTGTCCCAGCTCTCACAGCTCTAGATCTGATTCCGATGCTGCCCCACCCTGATTCCAAGCTGGTGACTTCATCCCGCAACAAGTTTGTGCCTTGGAAGTTTTGCCTCATTTCTTGGCATCTTGGGATTTCATCTCAATGTTGGGCTTTCATCAGGGGCCCAGTGGGCCCAGATGTGCCCCTTTCATCACACCTGCATCAGCAGAGTTTCCTGCACTTTGAGGAGCTGCTTAAGGGATGCGGGGTAGGGATGGTGAAGTCGGGGCAGAGAGAGAGGGGCAAGCCAGAACAGGCCTGCAGGCTGCCCCTTCCCTGAGCTTTCCTACCTAATCACAGAATCCACCCCCTTGTCCCTGGAAGCCAGTTTCCCATGGGCAAGGAGCCAAGAGTGGATCCCAGACCTGCCTCCTCAGCCTGGGTTCAGCCCTCCCCTTTCCTTGCCTGTCAGGGCCCAGAGGTCCACCTGTCCACTGAGAGGCAGGGCCAACACAGGAAGACCTGGGGGACCCACTCTGAGAACGTGGCTCCAGCCCCTGGCACTGTGGGAGCTGCCTTTACTTGAACGAGAGTGCACTGTGCTGAGCCAGGAGGCCCCGGACCTGGTCCTGGGTGGACTTTGCATGTCCTGCCTCCTCTGAGCTCCGGGTTTTCTCTCAAATAGGAAACCAGCTGCCTCCTCACCTAGTAGTGGAGACCTGATGTCCCAAAGGTCCATCATGCTTTTTGGGAAAAGCATGGTGATCTTCACAAGCTCCTCACAGTGGCTCTAACCCTGAGCCACTTTGGTGTCCCCAGTGCACAGCTCCTGCCTGGCTCAGAAAAAGCACACGCACTTTGAGTAAAGTATTAATTAGCTGTCTCTGCTATAAGTTGGAGACGCTCTGAGCTAGAGGAGAACTCCTCCCTTAGACTCTGGGGAAACCACCTAATCTTGCTGAGCCCCAGCTTTCTCTTCTGCAAAATGGGGACAATACCAACCCACAACAGGGCTGTTGTGAGGATTAAAGAGATGATACGTGCCAGGCTTCCAGCACAGAGCCTGGCTCATGGTGCACCTTTAGGAGTAAGGAATGTTCTTCCTGTTACTGCTCCTGGCTTGTTTCACATGCCTCCCACCCCTCCCTGTGGCTGTGGCTTGTCTCTGGGTCTCCAGTGCACTCTCTGGCACTTCTTAGGGCCAGGAAAGGTCTGTGGGCATTTTAAAGATCTAATGTGCTAGGTCGAAGTGGAAGTTAACATCTGCCTGACCTGGGCTGTCTCTTTAGATTCCGCCTTCTCTTAAGGTGGCTATGGGTGCTCAGCTCTAGGGCAGGTGGAGGTAGGGTGTTGACAAGCAGGTCTCCTGGCTGCAGTGGGACTCCTGGCCTTGAGATGCTTCTTCCTGCCTCGTGCCTGAGGAGGAGCTCTGCCCCTTATACCCCCATGCTGTCTTATCTCCTCTGAGAGTGTGGCACTGTTTTCCTGTTTCCACCACTTACGCATGGGTTGTCTGGCCTTGCTGGGTGCCAGGGAGAGAGAGGAATCTGGGTGGCAACTGTGGACTGAAGATTAGAAGAGACGTTGAAGGACTCCTGCCCCAACTGGGACAGATGGGAGTGGTCAGGGAGCACTTCCGGGAGGAGCCCGGCAGAAGGATATGGTGTCAGCTACACGGTGGGAGTAGAGATACAGGAACAGAGTTCGGAAGAGACAAACTAGACCTGCAGATGCAAAAATCTGCAGGCAAAAGAGGATGTGGCTCAAATTTGGGGGAACTACAGAGGATTTGGCAAGGCTGAAATGTAATAATGACTGACAGTGGGGAACATGGGACATGAGCAAGGCCCAACGATGGAGGCAACACTGAGTGTTTGGACTTTCACCAATACAACAAGGGACTTGGACTCAACGTGACCTCGCCCTTCCCAATGTACCAGCCATGTGAACATAGGGGTTTACTGGTGGGCACTACAAAGACTGGGGGACTTTTCAGCCAAAGAGGTGACTTGGTCAGGTCTGTTTTGAAGTCAGGAGAATGTGCATGATGGCTTTGGGGTCCTCTCCTGGCCTAGAATGGAGATGTGTTTTTTCACCCCGCCCCCAACATGTGTCTCCTGGGTGCTTGGCACTGTGCCAAGGTTCTGGGCCTAGATACTATTTCAAGTGTGAGTCTTGACTTGTAGCTATTCTGACACTTTCCAGATCAGTACCTGAGAGTAGGAGGAGCTTTGGACAAGGGGAGGCATGTTCGTCCTTCCCCAAAAGGAGATCAGGCGTAGTGAGAGCAGAGACCTGGTCAGATTGGCTGTTGGGAGTCACGTAGCCAATGGCCCAGCCCTCTGCATTTTCAGATCAGATACGTGTTGAGCACCTACTGTTTCCCCAGCCCTGGCAATATAATCATCAACAGATACGGAATCTGCCTGCTCAGAGCTTACAGGGACAGGAGGAAAGCAGGAACGTCCACCTGAGCAAAGTGCCTTACCCTCTTAACCAAGCTGATCCTGGGGGTTATGGTACTCAACATGCAGAGAGATGCCCAGGCCTTCACCCACCTCCCCACCAAAAAAAAACACTAAAAAACTCAAAGGGAACTTGGAGCCAAACCTAGCATTGAGAGAAGCTTTCTCTGAAGGGGACTTTTGCTGCCTCCCAGCTCTGGATTTAAAGCCCCAAGGTGGGCCGCTGTGCAGTAGCCTGCTGCTGCTGCTGCTGGCCAGGACCTGCCTTGGGAAGATGGATGGTGGGTCTCAGGCTGAGGGGCATGTTCAGTCCTTGATAAGGAGAGAGGACTGGGAGGGTTGATGTACAGAACTGGAAATTTTATGGGAGCTGGGAGGTATGCCCTTAGAGTCTGTTCTGGTTCTGCTACTGATTTCCTGTTGTGACCTTGGACAAGTCTTTTCTCTTTTTTGAGCCTCAGTTGCCCCCATCTTTAAAGTAGGTGAAATTGGGCTAGAAATAGGGGGACAAGTAGGTTTTGTCTCACATGAAAAATGATTGATTGCTGTTGGCCTTCTAAGCAGCTCTCTCGGCCTGGCAGGAAAGCATGCAAGTCTGAGATTGGAGATCGCTCCATGCATTCTGTGGGTTTGCAGACCCCAGGTGGTATGAACCCCAAACTCCATCCTGCACTGATATTCTTTGATTTTTCTGTGCTTCCTTCTATCTCCTGTGTCACTTCTTCACCAACCTGTGGTCTGCCTTCTGCTTAAACACCTTCGTGACGGGGAACTCACTATCTTCCCTGTCTGAGAATTGTTAGAATGTTATCCCTGGTCTTGAGCTCACATCTGCCTCCTTGAAGTTGTTCCTGGAATGAGAGATGGCTTGGGTTCAGGTATAGGTAACACCCTTGGGTACTTGGAGCCTCAGTGATGGATATGTCATTTCTGCCTTTTGGAGGCATACAGAGCTGCTGCTTTCTGCTATTTTGTGATAGACAGAGATAGCATCTGTATATCCTTTGAAAAAAGCACTTTAAAGACATTGTCACTTAGCTTATACAGCAACCCTGTGAATCCGGTGGTATTATCACTTCTATTTTACAGTGAGGAAGCTGAGGTTAGAGAGTTAACAGAGCAGCCCCGAGACCAAGCCTGTGCCCTTCTCTCCAGCTCCTTTCCTCATCCCCGGCCCGGTCCCCGGCCTCCTGTTCTGGCTTCCCAGGAGCCCACAGCCTCCATTCTCTCGCCCTCCTCAGGTTTCCATGTGATTCCCACGATCTCGAGCATCGTCCCGGAGAGCTGCCTGCTGATTGTGGTGGGGCTGCTGGTCGGGGGCCTGATCAAGGGCGTGGGTGAGACACCCCCCTTCCTGCAGTCGGAGGTCTTCTTCCTCTTCCTGCTGCCTCCCATCATCCTGGATGCAGGCTACTTCCTGCCGCTGCGGCAGTTCACAGAGAACCTGGGCACCATCCTGATCTTCGCCGTGGTGGGCACGCTGTGGAACGCCTTCTTCCTGGGCGGCCTCATGTACGCCGTGTGCCTGGTGGGTGGCGAGCAGATCAACAACATCGGCCTCCTGGACAACCTGCTCTTCGGCAGCATCATCTCGGCCGTGGACCCCGTGGCTGTGCTGGCCGTCTTTGAGGAAATTCACATCAACGAGCTGCTGCATATCCTCGTCTTTGGGGAGTCCCTGCTCAATGACGCCGTCACTGTGGTGAGGGGTTGGGGACCACATGCATGTACACACAGGACACAGACCCGAATCCAAGTCCAGGGTGACCCACGTCTGCCTGCCAATAATAGTAACACAACGGCAAATGTCCACTCCTGCTCACTGTGTGCATCACACTGAGCATGAAACATGGGTGATTTTATTTCATCCTCATGGCAGCCTTGGGGGGTGCTTAGTATTCCACTTCGTAGAGGAGGGTCTAGACCCAAAGAAGTGAAATAACTTGCTTGAGTCGGACCAAGGTTAGAAGCCAGGTCTGACTTCGTGGCCTGAGTTCTTGACCTCACCAGGGCACGTGCTCCATCCCTGACTTGGATCGGGATAGGATCTTGGTTAAATGGTTTATCTGCTTTCTACCTCAGTTCGCCCTTTACAGACTGGTTAGTCTGGAACGGGTGTTCCACCTTTCATGTCAGCTGTGTCTCTAAGTTGGAGCTTGGTTTGTGCCGAGTCCTGGGGCAGCAGTTGTGGAAGGAACCTTGCCCCCCAAACCTCCAGAATGTGATTGAGTAAACTGGGTTAGTCTGGGTTGGCCACTTGCTTCCTGTATGACCTTAAGCAAGTGACTATACCTCTCTTGGCCTCACCTTGACAGCTGCAAAGTGGCAGAGGATTTAGTGCCTTCCTCCCAGGGTCTAGTGAGGACAGGGCAGGACCCTGAGTAGGGCCCCAGAGCAGGGTCCGCACACGGCAGCTCTGCATGTGTGCTTGCACATGTCCGTCCTCCCAGCGGTTTCCTCAGGAAGCAGATACGTGTGTTGTGAAAACATCCCCCTCCGCCTCCCAGCTGGACCCCCAGCAGCTGCACACACAGGAAAACACAAGGACATGTGTGCACCCCCAGCGCCTGCTCGCACGTGCAATCCCTCTTCTCCACCCGCAGGCCCTCAGGAAGCTGCCCCTCAGAGAAGAGACCGCCAGTGGTGGTCGGCTGCCAACAGCCCTGGCTTCCGCTTCTTCCCCACCCCCACCTTCACGGGCTCCTCATGAGGCTGATTGAGCAGCAACCTGGCTTGAACGGGCAGGCCTCAGTCCGGGCCTCTTAGCACCCCCCTTGTCCAGGGCTTCCACACGAGCCTCAGTTTCCCCATTGTAACGGGTTGCGGTACTTAGCCTGCGTCCTTCTAGGGTTCATACAGGAGTCACACTCACTAATGTCTGAAACCACTGGGTGCCAGATGAAGTCCTCCTGTTGGATCTGGCCTTTGGGTTGACACTACCGAGGGCAGCTGGACATGGTGTGTTAAGTGGGCACCTCACTCCGACCACCGTGGGCCATGGCCACGCCTCACCACAGCAGTGGCAGTGGTGGTAGTAATCACTGGTGTTCATCGAGCACTTCCTGTCAGAACTATGTGTTGCCTCCTCTAATCTGCCCAGAAACTCTGTGAGGTGGGCACTCTTGTTATTCCCATTTTTCTAAAATGAGGAAACTTTGGCACTGAGAGGTTCACTCACCCAAGGTCACGTTCTCTGATAAGTGATGTGGACAGGGCTCAGAGCTACACAGTCTGATGCTTCCACTGTGCTACACCACCTCCCCAGTCCCAGTGACAGTAATGCCAGGTCGGAAAGGAGCACCCGTCCTCTGCCTGCCCCGCTGGCCCAGGTGGCGAACCCTGAGGACCCATGAATCTTTTTAGGCCAGAAGTGAGTTTAGGTAGCCCAGGGCTGAGAACACACCTGCAGCTGCTGCTATCCTGCCCTGTCCCCCAGTTCAGGCCCTTTCAGGAGCTCAGGGTGTGATGTGAGTGCCTCGTCTCCCGGACAGTAAACCTGAAGGCTGCCTCAGAGCTGTGTGGCCTCAGAGCAAGTCACCTCCCCCACCCCCCTCTCCCTGCCTTGAGGTGCTGCCCAGGTACTGGGAGCTTTGGAAGGTCCCCTCTCAGGAATCCTCAGCATCCCCCATGCCTGGGAACTTCCCGGCTGGTTTCCTGGCAGAGCTGTCTAGGGATAGGCTGGGGTGCCAGCACCTAAGAGGGGGAAGAACCGCAAAGCTGCGCCTTCCAGGGACACCCTGCCAACTTCTGTCAGGGAGCACGTTCTGGGCCCAGTTTTGCTGCTCCTGGGCCGGGGCCCCCTGGCGAGTCACTTCACCTCTCTGAGCCTCAGTTACAGTCAGCGAGGGAGCGGGCTTCCTCGGCCCACCTACCTCATAGGGCTCTTGTGTGTCGAGCAGATGACCATCGTCAAAGGGCCCTACAGTGTCTGTAGTGCTGCTTAGATGTCTGACGATAGTGTTAGAGTGACTGTTTATTTCTCAGTCCCGGGGCTGGGGGAGTCTTACAGAGCCTCTCGTTCCATAGCATGTGAACTTGGCTGTTCCTTGCAGCCACCTGGGGGACTTGTTGAACAGAGATTTCCAGGGCCTACCTCCAGAGATTCCAAGTAGCGTATGGCCTGGCCTTACGTATTTTCAGAGTGCCAGAGGCTAAGAAGTCCTGTTGGAGTTCAGTGTCTGAACTGTCCCTTCTTTGTGCTGAAGGAGGGACATGACTTGCCCCAGATCAGACCGTGGGAGAGGCGGGTGGAGTGGTGCCCGTCGTAGCCAGCACAGTCACAGGCGCCGTTCTTGGTGATCTGCCTTCACCAGCTAATTTGGTCCTTGCTACAGCCCTGTAGGGTTGGCACCGCTGCGCCATCTCTGTGGACGGGTAGGCTAGCACAGAGAGATTGAGTACTTTGCCCCACACGTACACTAGGAAGCGGCAGAGCCAGAATTCCAGCCCAGGCCGGCCGGTCTCAGCACCTGTGCTCATACCCAGCATGGTCCCATGGGGCCCACGCAGGACCCTCTGGCCAGTGGTTCTGAGCACCTGTTCGGCACTAGGGTTTCTCCGTTACCATGTGGACTCCTCTTGTGGCTGTGGTCATTGAAGGGGACAGGATACCCTGGTCTGACCCAAGGGAGCCTTGGGGCAGGACCTGCTCTCCTACCAACCGGCCTGCACACCTTCCCCAGGTTCTGTATCACCTCTTTGAGGAGTTTGCCAGCTATGACCGCGTGGGCATCGTGGACATCGTCCTCGGCTTCCTGAGCTTCTTCGTGGTGTCCCTGGGCGGGGTCTTTGTGGGCGTGGTCTACGGGGTCATCGCAGCCTTCACATCCCGGTTCACTTCCCACATTCGTGTCATCGAGCCGCTCTTCGTCTTCCTCTACAGCTACATGGCCTACCTGTCAGCCGAGCTCTTCCACCTGTCCGGCATCATGGCGTGAGTCTGGGCTTAACTCGGGGAGGCCACCCACTTGCATTCCCTGGGCTTGTAGGGTCACGAGGGAGCTCTCCTGGGCCCAGCCTGCAACTTCAGGGAGGAGACCCAAGCTCCATGTCCCAGGCCCCAGGCCGACGCCTGGAAGCCCTGAGTTTAAAGTTCTGGGAAGTCTAGCCTTGCTACTTCTTTCCTTCATTTGTCTCAAAGGGGGCCCCTTGGATTGGGCTGGACACAGGCACTCGTGATCACTATTCCCCTCAGCAGCCCCAGCAAGGAGGCTGGAGGCTGGAGGCTGGAGGCTTCCATTGGAGTGAGGAGTCCTGAGCCCTCAGCTGGGTGGTGAAATCGGAGACAGTGAGGTGCAGAGGTGTTCCCATAGGGACGGACTCGGGAAGTGCAGAGGTGGGCTGGACCGGGGGGTTCTGGATGACGGTGAGAAAGCCGGGCCAGCGGAGCCCAGGCGTGGGCTCCAGGCTGCTCCCTGTGGGGACCCTCATGCATTAAGGGGACACCACACTTGGGGCTGGGGGGGATAAACCCTAGGCCACGGACATGTGTAATTGATTTCCTGTTAGGCACAAGCTTTGGAGCTGGCCTGACCTTAGCTTGTGTCTTAGTTCTGTCCCTCACCAGCAGCATGACAGTGGGCAGGTGACTTTATTTTCCCTCATCTGAAAAATACAAGAATATATCTGTTGAGCGAGAGGCTTCAGTGAGAACAGGTGTGGAAAGCCCATAAGCAGAGCCCAGTGAATGGCAGCCTCCCTGGCAGTGGGGGCGGTGGCGGTGGGGTGGGGAAGGGGGGTTGGCTCTGGGAAGGTGCAGCTCAACTCTGAACCCGGCACCCTGCCTCCCTTGACCCCAGACTCATTGCCTCGGGAGTGGTGATGCGCCCCTACGTGGAGGCCAACATCTCCCACAAGTCCCACACGACCATCAAGTATTTTCTGAAGATGTGGAGCAGTGTCAGTGAGACCCTCATCTTCATCTTCCTGGGAGTCTCCACTGTGGCTGGCTCCCACCACTGGAACTGGACCTTTGTCATCAGCACCCTGCTCTTCTGCCTCATTGCCCGCGTGCTGGGTGAGGTCCCCGGGCCTGAGCCAGGGGAGGTGTGTGGGAGTGGAGGGCTGGGGCGGGTGGGCGCTGTGTGTTCACGTGTGTGTGTGTGTGTGTATGTGTGTGTGGTGGGTTGTGTGGAGCCTGGCTGCTCCCAGCACAGCCGAACAGCAAGGGCTTCCTTGGTCCTCGTCTCCACAATGCCAAGTGCCGGCCCCTTGAGGGGAGAGAAGCCCATTCTCATGAGTCAGTCACAGTGTGTCAGAGTGGAGGGGCCTTAGGGACCCTGTGGTTCGGGGCCTGTCAGGCCTGAGGAAGGGACGGAGGTCCCCACAGCCCAGGTCTGCGAGTGTTCCATGCTGTCCCATGGCACGGGTGACTTTAGCACTTGCAAAGCTGCAGGCAGCTCCTCCAAACCTGTTCTGCCTCCTGGTCTGCGCGAAGGACCAGGCCTTGTGTTCTTGGACCCTGCTTACGCTTTACAGACACATCTCACCTCAGTGCCTCCCCCTCTCTGGACCTCACTGCCTCCTGTCTGTGGTTAGGTCTGTGGTCCTCAGCCTGACTGGGTGTCACAATTCCTTAGTGTGCTTTTTAAAAATCCCCTTAATCCGGGGCTTTGTGCCCCGTAGATTCTGTTCTGACCATTGAAGTTACACCCATGCCTCTGCATTTTTAACTTCGCATTACAGGAAATTTCCAGTCGGAGAAAAGTAGACCCCATGTACCCATCCTATTTACTCAGTGAGCGTCGCCCCATCTCATCTCTTTCCTGATCATCCTCCCACCCTGTGGCCACTGGAGGCCTCTGTGATGCCTCTAAAGTACATCCAGGTCGGGGGTCCCCTTAAGGATCCACCCGTCTCCTGGATTGAGGGATTCAGAGCACCCCGGGCTGAGGGACCCAGAACATGAGTGAGCTGCATGGGCTTATCATAGAGGCTTCCTCCAGACAGAGAAGTCCCTAGTGCAGGAGCCAGGGGGGTTTGGGGGTGGCCTGACCCCTCTTCCCCCTCCTCCCTGGCAGGTGTGCTGGGCCTGACCTGGTTCATCAACAAGTTCCGCATTGTAAAGCTGACACCCAAGGACCAGTTCATCATCGCCTACGGTGGCCTGCGAGGGGCCATCGCCTTCTCTCTGGGCTACCTTCTGGACAAGAAGCACTTCCCCATGTGCGACCTGTTCCTCACTGCCATCATCACCGTCATCTTCTTCACTGTTTTTGTGCAGGTGCTGGACAGGGTGGGGCAGCCCTGCCTGGGGACCCTGACTCTGCCACTGGAAAAAGGAAGCCTGTGATCCAAGAGGGGGCCATGGGGTCTAGTCCCAGCTCGACCAAAACTTGGGCTGCACAACATTGGGCAGGCCACTCCCCTTTTCTGGGCCTCAGTTTCCTCAGTTGTTAAGAGGAAATTGTGATATTAAAAATATTCTTTTAGCCCTGGCTGGTGTAGCTCAGTGGATTGAGTGCGGGCCTGGGAACCAAGCAACCACAGTTCGATTCCCAGTCAGGGCACGTGCCTGGGTTGCAGGCCAGTTCCCAGCAGGGGACACACAAAAGGCAACCATACATTGATATTTCTCTCCCTCTCTCCTTCCTTTCCCCTCTAAAGATAAATAAATAAAATCTTTAAAAATATTCTTTTAATTTATTGATTTTAGAGAGAAGGGGAGAGAGAGAGAAACAGTAATGTGTTGTTTTGTTGTTCCTCTTATTTATGCATTCATGGGCTGATTCTTTTTTTAATGCTTTTTAAAGATTTTTAAAATTTATTTTTAGGCAGAGGGGAAGGAAGGGAGAAGGGGAGAGAAACATCAATGTGTCATTGCTTCTTGTGCTCCCCCTACTGGGAACCTAGCCCAAAACCCAGGCATGTGCCCTGACTGAGAAACGGCAGGGCCATGGGTTGATTCTTGTATGTGCTCTGATTGGGGATCGAACCTGCAATCTTGGCATATTGGGACAATGCTCTAACCAGCTGAGCTGCCCAGCCAGGGCAAGAGGGGATTGTGACAGTGAGCCACTGCGATGACCAATCAGAATGTAAAGGAGCCAGAGTGCTGCCTAACTTAGGAAACTAGAGTGAGAGAAATAGGGTGCAGTCAGCCGGCCCACAATCAATGCTCATTGGAGGGCTTTAGGAAAGTGATTTAATATTTTGGGATCTCAGTTTGTACATCTGTAAAATGGGAATAATAGCACAACACAGGGAACAGGAAAGTTGGCTGAGCCAGGCAGCAGGAGGTCTGGAGTCAACCCAGGCTCTGCTGCTGTCTTGTGACCCTGGGAGATACCCTCCTCCCGTCTCTGGGTCTCAGTTTCCCATCTTTAAAGTGAGGGGACTGGACTAGATGATCCTGAAGGATCCTTCCAGCTTGCTTGCCAGTGATTTCTGTGCATTTGCATGACCCAGGCTCAGCCGAGAGCCCACCCCGACCCCCGGTAGTCACCAAGGAAGCCCAGCCTGGGATTGTGTAAGTCCCACCCTGCTTGATCTGTGACCTTGGGCAAGAAAGGAAACACTCAGTCTGGGCCTCGTTTCTCTACCATCCCTACTGTCCCCTCCGTCTTTCTTTGACACTCATCCTTGCGAACATTATTGCCTTCTCAGGAGAAAAGAATGTAGAGGAAATTTCTTGGGGCTGGACTTATTTTCTGTCCTTTAAAAGGAAAGGGGGCTGCTGCCTCTTTTTTCTTCTTGTGCAGCTTCCATCTCAGAAATATTTGATCACCTTGACTTTGTAGTTGTATATGCTGATGGTTTACCAAGTCCTTTTTCAACGAAGTGGCACTGAACAGTAGGGCTCTCCCTGCCTGAGTGTGAATCCAGCTCTTTGAGACCTTAGGCACTTACGTAACCTCTCTGAACTTCAGTTTCCTTATCTGTATAATGGGACAATAAAAGGACCTACTTATGGTTGTTGTAAGTGTTAAAGGGCTAAAACGAGTGAAATGCAGCTGGCTCTGGCACATGGTAATTGTGCAATTAGCTGGTGCTGCCATTATCAGGTGCCCCTTGGTCACAGTCCTACGGGGCAGTTCTCCCTATTACCCAGGCCTGACTTCCTTAGGGCTACAGAATATGCCTGTGGTGGAGCTCACACTTAAATCCAGGCCCTTGATCCCTGACCTGTGCTAGATGACCAGTGTGAGTCATTTGGCTGGATAGGCCCTCAGACCTCTGGCTGTCTTCAGGAAGAGCAGGTCTTGGGGACCTGCCTTTATAGAAGTGCTAGCATGGAGGTTAAGAGATTGGGGGCCTCAGAGAAGAGGGCATCCCAGCCTCAGGCCCCAGGGATTAGGGGGGAGGCCCCATGACCTCCTTGCTAGGGTAGGAGAACTACAGGGCTGACACCTGCCTGCTCCTTAGGGTATGACCATTCGGCCCCTGGTAGACCTGCTGGCTGTGAAGAAAAAGCAAGAAACTAAGCGCTCTATCAATGAGGAGATCCACACTCAGGTACCGGAAGCTAGGCCCTAGGTTGCAGAAGTCTCGGGGAGCAGCTAGGGCTTGCATCCACGCCCTCAGTCAGCCCCTTCTCCCTTGTCCCAGGACTGGGTGGTCTTTAAGCCTCCTGAGGTCACCAAGTCTTGTCATAGGGAGATGTGGTATGAACAGCTGGGAGCCTGAGGTGGGGGCATCAGGCATAGATGGGTTTGGAGAAGGGAGGTAGCCATGCCCCAGTGGCAGTGGTTGAGGAGCCACTGGGGTTCAGGATGACTGAGGTAATGGCGCCACCTCCTGGCTGCTCCTGGAATTACAGGGTTGGTCTGTCTGAGCAGAGCAGCACTAGGTTTGAAGGTGGGGGGCCTATTCAGAAGTCTTGGTAGGGAAGGAGCCCAGTAGTGAGGCTTGACCTGGCCCTGGGCCCGTTTCAGTTCCTGGACCACCTTCTGACAGGCATCGAGGACATCTGTGGCCACTATGGCCACCACCACTGGAAGGACAAGTAGGTGGCAGGCCTGGTGGGCAGGTGGGTGGGGAAGGGCAGGTAAGGGTCTCCCAGGGCCTGGGTGTCTCCCCACCCCTAGGAGCTGGCTCCATCCACGTTTTCCCTTTCCCCACCAGGCTCAACCGGTTTAACAAGAAGTATGTAAAGAAGTGTCTGATAGCTGGGGAGCGCTCTAAGGAGCCCCAGCTCATCGCCTTCTACCACAAGATGGAGATGAAGCAGGCCATTGAGCTGGTGGAAAGTGGAGGCATGGGCAAGATCCCCTCGGCTGTCTCCACCGTCTCCATGCAGTGAGTGCTAATGGCCAACCCTGGCAGTTCCTGCACCCACACGCTAATCCCTCAACACCAACCTGGAGCAGGCCACCTGGGGGGGGCGGGTAGTGAGCATGGCCCCTCTGTCATCCTGTGAGGGCTGATGAGAACTGCAGAACCACACTGAGGACCTGAGGCTTTACCCACCCAGGCCATCCCCAAAATGACTTCCCTCCGGCCCAGCCCAGAGGGCTCCAGGATCACAGGAACTTCCTTGGGGACCTAACCTGTGTTGTGTTGTCCCAGGAACATCCACCCCAAGTCCCTGCCTGCCGAGCGCATCCTGCCTGCACTTTCCAAGGACAAGGAAGAGGAGATTCGCAAAATCCTAAGGAACAACTTACAGAAGACCAGGCAGCGGGTGAGGGGCTGCTCCCTGCCCAGCTCCCCTACAGGACAGGAGCCCCTCTGCCCCGTGTGCCCCAACCCGGCCCCACACGTGTCCAGATCTGCCCCAGCCCCTCCAGGCCCAGCCTCTGGGTCCTGCCCTGCCTGACAGCTGCTCCTCCCACAGCTGCGGTCTTACAACAGACACACCCTGGTGGCAGACCCCTACGAGGAGGCTTGGAACCAGATGCTGCTCCGGAGACAGAAGGCCCGGCAACTGGAACAGAAGGTATGTCCTGGACGGGAGTGGCTCCTTCCTTTCTCTGGGTTCTTCCTCTTCCCGCACCACCAAGCCCTTTTGCAGATAGAACACTCCCATCTGTCTTTTCAGTCTCCTCCACCTGTTCCGAAAGCTAACCCCTAGCTCAGCTTTCAGAAAGCCTTGCTCCCCGCTGAAAGCAGTGAAGAGGCCAGACTCCTCATCATGCCCTCAGGCATCTCCCTAGGAAGAGCCTCCATGTGACTCTCATTTTCTTCTGAGAAGACTAACACCCACTGGGAAAGAGAGCCACCCAAAATCACAAAACAAGGCACACATTCATCCCATTCATTTATTCATGGAACATTCGTTGAGTGGTCCCTAAGTGCTAAGCCTTTATGAATCCAGGTGAATCAGCCCAATCCCTCCTTTAGAGAGATTCTCATACAGTGACCCTTGCAAGACACAATGTGCAAGGGACCCCAAATACCTTGAACAGGGATGGGATCAGGGTAAGCTTAGGAGTCAGAGCCACGGTGAAGGGAGTGTGGGGAGAGGGAGGTCCAGGCAGAAGGAAAAACCTGCCTGAGTTCCCAGTCTCAGGATGTGGCCCGTTCTAGAAACAGAGGGTTCAGCTTTCAAGGGAAGATTGTTAATGGTGTAAGGGTTCGGGTTTTATTCTGCAGGCACGGAGGGCTGTGAAGGGTGCTGAGCGAGGGAGGACGGGAAGGGGTGGGGGCAGCCTGGACAATGGGGGTGGCAGGGAGAGGTAGAAAGGAGTGGGTAGATTCAAGGGACATTTAAGAGGTGGAACTCACAGGATTTGGTCACCCGTTTGAGGTGGGATTGAGGGAAGGGGAAGAGGTGTCAGGGGTCATGTCCAGCCTTCTGACTGGGGTAGCTGGGAGTGGTGGCTGTGATAGGGGTGCCAAGGAAGGAACAGGTTATGAGGGAAGATAGGAAACTGAGTGTATTTTCAGCACATCGCATTGAGATACCTGGGGGCCGTCTAGGACCCAGGTGTCCACGCCTGAGTCGACTTTGTGGGCCTGCATCTCAGGGGCAGGTGTGGCCAGAGCTAGAGACTGGGCAGTGCCACCACGGGAGCGGCAGAGCAGTGCACAAGTGTCGGGGCCGCCTGGGAGGTGCATGGCTTGCGGAGACCTGGGCCAGGCCCTCAGGAGCCCCCGCAGAGCTGGCAGGGACACGGCCTGATGAGGAACCCCCGAGAGGGAGCACACCCCAGACACGCCTGTGGCCGCCAGCCACCGGGGCCACCCGGAGGGGCTGCCCGAGCTCACGCCCGTCTGCTCTTTCTCTGTCAGATCAACAACTACCTGACAGTGCCGGCCCACAAACTGGACTCCCCCACCATGTCTCGGGCCCGCATCGGCTCAGGTAAGGCAGGGCACAGGGGGCCCGGTGAGGGGCCTCGCAGCCGGGCGCCCGCTGCCACTGTCCCTTCGAGATAAGACTCGACAGGAACTGGCCTCAGAGCCAGTGGGGAGGACAGGCCTCTCCTTCACTGCCCTCCCCAGGGACAGAGATGCTCCACGTGGGGCTGACGGAGGGAGCTGGGTGCCTGGCAGGGAGGCAGGAGGGGTCTGCACCACTGGGATCGCCACGGAGGGAGGAAACCAGAGCAGGCCTTCTCTCAGGCCTGGGTCCCTGGGCGGCGGCGCCTCCGGAAGGAGCCCTAATTCTTAGTCTGAGGAGGAACATCCATGGGAGCCCCTGGTCTGAGGAGAGGAGCACAGTCCTACCTCTGAGACCTCAGCCTGCGGAGAAGAGAAACTGGTGAAGGCCCTTCAAGTCCACATGGAGTGACTCAGACTTACCAGCATTGCTCCGCTCAGGAGGCTCTGTGGGAGCTGCTGGCACGGGCTGAGGGTCTCGGGCAGCAGCCAACCCGTGCCTTGCTCTTGGTCCCCAGATCCACTGGCTTATGAGCCGAAGGCCGACTTGCCCGTTATCACCATCGACCCAGCCTCCCCACAGTCACCCGAGTCTGTGGACCTGGTGAATGAGGAGCTGAAGGGCAAGGTCCTCGGGCTGAACCGGGACCCCAGAGTGGCTAATGAAGATGAGGACGATGAAGGGGGCATTGTGATGAGGACCAAGGAGCCCTCTTCCCCAGGCACTGACGATGTTTTCACCCCTGGGCCAAGTGACAGCCCCAGCTCCCAGAGGATACAGCGCTGCCTCAGTGACCCAGGCCCCCACCCTGAGCCTGGGGAGGGAGAGCCGTTCATTCCCAAGGGGCAGTAGTGCTGCGGCCAGTGGGCGGTGCCTGTCCCACCACAGACTCTCCCACCAGAGCAGGGGCTGCTAGGAGCTGGGGGGGCTCCCCTCGTCCTTCCTGACCTGGATTGCCCCTCCCCCGACCGCATGGCAGCTGGGCCCACCACAGCACGGCTTCGCCCTGCCTCCTGGGAAGCGCCTTCACTTCCACCAGAACTGCCTTCCCAACTCCTCTGGCAGAACTGCTGGGCTGTGAGGCAGACTTTGCCCTTTCCTAGCCAGGCTCTCTCCCATCCCCAGGGGGGGCCTCTCTGAGTTTCCCAGAGCTTGGTGACCCCCTTCCTTCTCCATCACCCTCCTCATTCAAACCAATCTTAGTTTCTAACCGAAGAGCCGCTGGCTCAGCCTTGGTCCCATCTGGGAACGAAGGAACCCAGGCCTTTCTTGGCCCAGGCCAGGCTCTTCATTTACAGGGGAAAGGCTAGGAGAACAGACATTTTTTTAAAGTTTTTATTTTATTAGGGGGAGCAGATTTTTTTCAAGGTTTTAATTTTCTTATTTGAGGGAGAAGGAAGCGAGGGAGGGAGGGGGAGAGAGAGACGGCGAAGCTGCCTCCTGCCTGCTGCATGCGCCCATCCCAACCCGGAATTGAGCCTGAAACCTGGGCACGTGCCCTGACCCGGAATCAAGCCAGTGACCTTTTGGTTACAGAAGACGCTCCAGCCCATGGAGCCGTGCTGGCCAGGGCAGGGGGGGCAGGTATTTGACGGGCAGAGGGATTGGTGACGCACAGCAGCCCCACCCTCCTGCCACTCTGTCATCCTGGCTGGCCACCTCGACATGCCCAGACTCAGAGCTGCATCTCTGAGCTGCTCTATGTGGAGCTGGGTCTCTGTGGACCAGGATGGGACTCAGCTTTTTAAATTGCTCCAGCGGGGACCACTGAGCCCTCCAGGGGCTGCTGTCAGGGGAGGGACTGACTGGGGCTCCAGGAAGTGCTGGCTTTTTATCTGTTTTGGTTGTTCACACGTCCATGTATGATCTCTTTGCACAGAGGCCATTCCTGTTTTTAAATCATTTCGAAAAACCCCAGCTGAATGAAGCTCTGGCCCTCCTACTCCAAAGAATTACCCCTCCTCGTTTGGGTCTGTCTCCCTAAACTCCCCCAAATCGGTTCTCTGCCTCCTGGACTCATAACTGTAGCCCCAAGGCTCTGATTTCAGAAGTGACACCCTAACCCCAATCATGGTTCTCTGACTCGCAGATGCCGGGCCTGCTGGGCCTTCTTTGCCCTTGGCCATGACCCTCAGTTCCTGCTGGCCTGTTCTTTCTCTTGCCCCCTCTGTTGGTCCCGGGAACTTCTCCCTCTAATGTTCACTGCACCCAGCTTGCTGTGGAGCCCAGTCCTCAAGGAAGAAGACCTCCCCTGGGCATCTCCCACCCAGCCAGGGCTGGTGGGTGGGCAGAGTGCTAGGCTCCCAGAAGCCTTTGCTCCCAGGTACACACTTCCACTCCCATGCCCCCATGGCCAGGCTTAGGACTCTTGGTGTCTGTCCTCCCCAGGGCACTCCCCCAGGATTGTGCAATACTCAGAGCACCCCTCTTCCCAGTGCACTGGGCAGTGGGTGCTCATCTGTCCCCCTCACCATGCAAGTGCTGGTTTGGGCAGGAGTCACCACTGCAAGGGTGACGTGGACAACCATGTTCGAAGCCACCACAGCTGCTGCTGCTCTGCCGCCTATACAGAAGAAACCAAATTTTTTCATATTCTAATAAAACCATGTGAGTTTTTGATAGAGTTGAGGGCTGTTTCCTGGGAACAGGGACTTTGGGGAGTAGGGTGGCCTGGGGGCCTGAAGGACTTGGCTCAATGGCTGGCGTGGAAAAACACCCCATCTGTGTCAGCTGCTAGTGCGCGATTACTGCGTGCCAGGCGCCAGGGGTATAACCGTTCACAAAGCAAAGTGCTCTCTACCCTCCGCTGCCCTCAGCCTCCAGGGAACAGCAACATTAGTCATACTTACAGACCCGGAGAAACCTGATGTGTGTAAATGACAGTGAATGAAAGTTGGGGGTGGGAGGGGGTGGTGAGGAAGACTTTCCTAAGTGCTATCCCAGGAGAGGACTAGAGAATGAGCTGAGGTTAACCAGGTGAAGAAGGTTCCAGAGAGTTCCCAAGTATTCTAACTGCGAGCTGCACAGTGAGCACCCCTGGGACCTGAAAGACGCGTGACTGGGTCAGGGCGACAGGAGGGGAGGCAAAGTAGGGGCCCTTCGGTCTAAGGTTAAGATTTTGGCTTATACAAACCAAAGGGTGATGAAAAGGTTCTCACCTATAAGGTGGAGACAATAACTCCTGAATGAAAATGAAATGTGTGCTCAGGGGTGTGTAAGTGGGCTTATTTGCACAGTGCGGGCTCCCTGTGAGCTTAGTTCAGCCAAAGTTGGATTCCTGCGTTTTCAGGAGCTGACCACCAGAGGGCAGTGGGGCCTTGGCGCACAGCCCCAGCACCCTTGGAACCTGGCTTGTCCGGGAAAGCGTATCCTTTGTGCAGCCTGGGACCTCTGCGTGGAGTTGGTTTGATTCACAAAAGCTGAAGTATTCATTGCCGAAGGACTGTAGGGGGGACCACACCATTGCTATACCAATTGGTGACTCACAAAGAAATTGGATGGTATGTTCTAAGGAATGTTGAATAGCCTTCAACTAAGGGATTGTAACAGGGGTGTGGGTAGAGTTAAGGGAACCTACCAGGGATGGGAGCTCACACTGCAGGAAGCCATCCAACCCCTAGGCTTGAAAGGCAAGGAGAGTTTTACCACAGGGAAAGGACACCGTCCCTGCCAGGCAGGGACCCGTCAGATAAATATTCTGACTCTGACCCTGCTGGTGCCTGTCCTTGGTCAAACCCAGCTGAAAGCCAGAAGGAAAGGCATTCGAGTGACTTTACTGAGTTCAGGCTTCCAGTAAATGGAGCAAGGGGGAAGCAGATTTGAGGGGAGACAGGCTATCCAAGCAGAGCAATTTCTTTTATACCCCCACCATCCTTTCTTGTCCTTCATTTATTTATTTTTAAAATATTTTTAGAGAGAGGGGAAGGGAGAGAGAAAGAGGGAGAGAAACATCGATATGCAATGGATACATTGATAGGTTGCCTCTTGAACCACCTCCATTGGGGACCTGGCCTGCAACCCAGGCATGTGCCCTGACTGGGAATTGAACCCGCGACCTTTTGGTTTGCAGACTGGCACTTAATCCACAAAGCCACACCAGCCAGGGCATTCTTCCCCTTTAGATGAAAAACTCATGTCCCTGTTGCCTGATGGTTACAGAATTTCAGTTCCGGGCAATGAAAAACATTTGGAAATAGGTTGTGGTGATGGTTGCGCAGTTCTGCAAAGGTACTAAATGCCACTGATTGTTTACTATAAATGTTTCGTTTTATGTTATGTGAGTTTCACCTCAATTTTTTTAATGGAAAGGGGAAAAAAACATTCTTCCCAACAGAGGAAACAATCCCATCAATCACCACCTATTTGTCATATTCACCACGTCCTTGCTTTCAGTCATCCTCACCTTGAGTCTAACAATAGTCTCTAGGGCTCTTTCAGCAAGACAGCAGGGGAAATGATGAAAACCTGTTGTAGGACACGGCCCCCTTCCCCATCTGGTCCCAAGTGCTAACTCAGCAATCATGAGTCAGTCCTCCTTCTGTCCCATGTTCCTTTCACCAGCTGCCAGCACTTCATCTGATTAGGTTCTCTACTTGGTGGGGTGTCCTAAACCTTTATCTGTGGGCAACTCAGGTCCTTACCTTAGGATTGTCAGGTGGCCAAGGTGCCCACTGACAGTTATTAATGGACATGGGAGATCTGCGAGGCGCCCAGTAAACCCTGGATGCCAGACATAGCTTCCCTGCCCAGCCTGCATTTTCCTTCTCGTCACCAAGATTAGTCACCCTATCTGGTACAGTTGACAACCTCTCTGCCTTTTGGTTCAGCAACATACAAAGCTCAAAATAACCATCAAGAAGATCTTCCAGTTAAGGAAGCCACATCTGTGTTCCCTGGAAATATTCCTCCTCTGGGCACCGAGGACTCCGGACTCACTGAATGCAAACTTGTGATGGAAAGCAAAAATCTCTGCATTAGGCCGTTTGGAATAACAGTGAGAAGAGCCACTCCCACCTCTACACCGTGGCTCTTGGGCCTCTGTGTTCCTGCTGTGAGAGAGGTGCAGCCGTATATTGGCCACTGATTGAAAGCATGTACCGCATCCCGCCCATGGACAACTAACCTTGTAGGTGTTGTCTCCCAGCTGGCCCTGTAATGCTGTTCTGTCCAGTCAACTGCTCTGAGCGACGGGCCACATTGTAGGTCCAGTGCCTTCCATGGGCGAAACCACTGCTGTGTGCCATGCACCCTAAAATGAAGATAGGCAATGAGCAGGTGGCACAGTGATGAACTTGGCATTCTGGGAAAGCCCAGAAATGATAGAGCTGGTAGAGGTACTGCAGGCTGGGATGTTCGTATCTGGGACACGTTTACTACCGTGAAGTAGGAAGTATTCCTTCTGTGAAGTAAGGGGCCTGTGCAGTCAACCTGCCAACCTGCTAGGTAGCTAGCAGGTGGTCGTAGAGCAGTGGCTCTCAAGTTTTGGGCCTTAGGAGTCCTTTGTACCCTTAAAAATTCCTGAAAAATTACACTCAGAAATGACAAGGGTTTCTGCTTATGTGGGTTATATCTATTTTAGTGGATCAGACATTGAAGTTTTAATTTGACTTGGGGTGGTGAACACTCAGTACAATGTACAGATGTATTATACAACTGTACACCTGAAACACAATTTTATTAACCAATACATTCAATTAAAACTTAAGGCTTTAGATTTCCAGCCAAGATGGAGGTGCAGGTGGAAACATTGTGCCTCCTTGCACAATTAAGTTTTAAAGACAACAAAGTTTTACTAACAAAAATGCAGCCAAAACACAGAAAATTGAACTGCACGGAAGTCCAACAACAATGGAACCGTTCATCCAGACTGACCCAGGAGGGCAGGCGGCAGTTGGCAGATCCCAGGCAAGGGGTGGCAACAAGCGGACCCAGTGAGGGCGCAAGGTGGTTGGCTGACCGTGGTCACACATTCATGTGCAGATAAACCAAGCAAAGGAGCAAGCAGTGAGACAGACCACTCAGGCTAGGGCCCCAGTGACGGGAATTAGAGCCTGAAAACACCAATTGGAAAGACTTTCTGGGTTGAGATGCTGGGAGAAGCTCCCAGCTTCACAGAGAGTTCGTTGGAGAGACCCACAGGGTCCTGGAGGATGCACAAGCCCACACACCTGGGAACCAGCACCAGAAGGGCCCAATTTGCTTGTGGGAAGCGGCAGAGGGGACAGAAATCTGAGAGAGAGCAAAACAAGCGCCATGGCCCCTCTCTGACCCCACCCTCACATACAGTGTCACAACCTAACGACCTGGGTTGCCCCGCCCTGGTGAACACCTAAGGCTCCACCCCTCATACATAACAGGTGCGAACAGACTGAAACATTATGGCTCAAGAACAGTTCAAAGCCCCAGAGCTAATAAATCTAAGCGACCAAGAGATAGCTAACCTTTCAGATGCATAGTTCAAAACACTGGTGATCAGGATGCTCACAGAATTGGTTGATTTTAGTCACAAATTAGAGGATCAAATGAAGGCTAAACTAATTGAAATGAAGGGAAATACACAGGAAACCAATAGTGATGCAAAGGAAACTGGGACTCAAATCAAGGGAGTGGACCAGAAGGAAGAAAAAAATGACCAAACAGAAAAGAATGAAGAAACAAGAATTCAAAAACAATGAGGAGAGGCTTAGGAACCTCCGGGACATCTTTAAACATTCCAACATCCAAATTATAGTGGTACCACAAGGGAAAGAGGAACAGCCATGGGTGGAGAACTTATTTCAACAAATAATAAAGGAGAACTTCCCCAATCTGGCAAAGGAAATAGACTTCCAGGAAATCCAGGAAGCTCAGAGAGTCCCAAAGAAGTTAGACCCAAGAAGGAACACACCAAGGCACATCATCATTACATTAGCCAAGATTAAAATCAAGGAGAGAATCCTAGAAGCAGCAAGGGATAAGGGGACAGTCACCTACAAAGGAGTTCCCATCAGACTGTCAGCGGATTTCTCAAGAGACCTTACAGGCAAGAAGAGGCTGGAAAGAAGTATTCCAAGTCATGAAATCCAAAGACCTACATCCAAGATTGATCTATCCAGCAAAGCTTTCATTTAGAATGGAAGGGCAGATAAACTGCTTCTCAGGTAAGGTCAAATTCAAGGAGTTCATCATCACCAAACCCTTATTATATGAAATGTTAAAGGGACTTATTTAAGAAAAAGAAGATAAAAAATATGAACATTGAAAGGACAGCAAACTCACAGTTACTAATGACCACACTTAAAACAAAGGCAAACTAAGAGGACAGCTAGATCAGGAGCAGAACCATAGAAATGGAGATCACATGGAGGGTTTAGCAACAGGGGAGTGGGAGAAGGAGAAGGGGGGAGAAGGTACAGAGAATAAGTAGCATAGACGGTAGGTAGAAAATAGACAGGGGGGAGGGCAAGAATAGTATGGGAAATATAGAATCTAAAGAACTTGTGACACATGGACATAAACGAAAGGGGGGAATGGTGGAAAAGGGGTGTGCAGGGTGGAGGGGAATGAAGGGGGGGAATAGGACAACTGTAATGGCATAATCAATAAAATATATTTAAAAAATTAAAATTAAAATTAAGGCT